GTAAAAATAATTAAAAAGGATTACTAATAGTTAATGAAATACTTTTGTTTGTATGGAATAATATTTCAAGATTTATTTGACATCATAGAGATAAATACATGTATTGAAAATTTATGTTGTGGTACTGAAAATAATTATTTGAAATAGTATTTCATGTGTCTAAATTTCTATTAATTATTTGAAATTCTATTTTTTATGATTAATATTTACGAAAGAAAATAAATTTATAGAAAAAGTACAGACACATATTGTTTTGAAAAATAAGCTTTTTCTTATATTTCTCTTAATTAACATATATTATATATATATATATATATATTTTGTTTATATTATAATTTGTCAATTATGTATTTCAACTAGTATATCATTTAAAACAGAAATAAATTATTACATCAAATGAATGCACATATACAACACAGTTAAGAGAAATAGTATTTGTAAATATCTGTATTTTTGAGTCGAAATATTTTAAACCAGGTCTGCTATCCAGTATCCTATAAAATAATTAAAAATTCAAATGATGGAGTTTATAATGAAAAAATTCCAATGAATATCTCGGAAACGGAAATGAGACACGTTAAGTGTCACTGAAATGTGCGACTACTTTCTTCAGCCCATAATTATCATTTCCATTGTTCAAACTCGTTTAAAAAATATTGGATACTATAATTGAAAGGTTATAAAATAATCTCACAACTATCTCTCAAGCTATATATTCTTCGAAAAAGTGTTCTAAATAATGTTCAGTTTTAATGGGGACGTTTTATGATGGCCATCATATTTGTTTAGATGAATTTATTCTGAAGATTTCGCTATACAACTTCTGCAAAGGTGACACTGACTTTTAAGATCAGAATAAATCATTCCATCGATATGCAAAGCTGTCTTTCCGAATATAAATGACACAGAACAATTTCTAATTTGAATGTCAATAAATGACCTTGAATGACTCTGAATCACTAACATATCTAGGTCAGTGCATACGTCACGAAACGGACTTAAAATTTGGGTAAATAAAAATATACAGGAAACACAAAAATATGTAGGAAACACAAACACCACCTTGAAATCTCAAAGTGTACAAATAATTATTAACGAGATCATAAAAGTTTATGAGAGAATTGTGTCATTAAGTTCAAATCGGACATCCTGTATAAGAGAAAATGTATTGTGCACACAGATATAATTAAACATAAATCAATGACACCGTGATTAGTAACCTTTGATTAACTACTTATTTACGATCTAATCACTAATTACTAGACTATATGAGTGACTGAATCTTTATGCAAAATAAAAAGTTGCTAACAAGGGATGATTCCCAATCCGGTAGATCAAAAAATTCTGAAACTTTGAGAGGATACACATATTATGTGTGTATATACATATATTACGCAATCTTTTCTTAGTTTACGGGGTGGAAATTAACCCTTAAATATTCGTTCATTTTTTACTTTATTTCTGTAATTGGCAAATTATACAAGCTAAATAAAAAGTCTTCGAACAAAAGTTACTTCTTTTGTCCAAATCTAATAAAACAGTAAAACAATATATCGATTATTTGTTTATAACTTTTTCCAATTGTTTAAACAATTTAAAAATCGTATATCACATGATGCATTTGAACAAAAGAAGTAACTTTTGTTTGAAGACCTTTTTTCTATCTTGTACAGTTTGCAAATTGTAGCAATGAAATATTGAATATTTCGGTGTTAATTTCCAGCTTTAAGATGAATTGATGCAAGAAACAAAAAATTGCGTAATACATATTTTTCAGAATTTTTTGAATTTCTGGGTTGGTGATCATTCTTTGTAAGTCCAATGTAAGAAACAGAAATTAAATGAAAATTGAATGATCCTTTTAATGATTTTATTAAATCAACAATAGTGCAACAGTAGTCTTAAATTCTTCCAACATGTTCACGGTTTTGTGTATCGAAACTATTCTCACTTTTGTCACACATGCATAAAATCCGCAGTCTACTGATTACTTATGAATAACGCATTATTATAATAATTAACCGCAGCGTGAAGAAGTTATGCCTCTGAAAACTGTGTGAAATATACGTGTGGTGTGCAAATGAATGTATACTATAATTTCATCAGATATTTCTTCTTTAATTGACCATTTTCTATATTAATTTTGCAGTCATTCAACATACATATACATATATACATTATAAAATTGCTTTTGTAAGTGTACCTGCAAGCAAAAACGCATAGAGGCGACGAAAGATAGATACGGCAATATTTCGCGGAGGAAGCAAACAATTTCCAGCGACAATTCATAGCAGCTTGCATTTGTTCGCTTTAACCGACTACATCGCAGTCCCGTTTTGATCCTCAGGAATTTTTACGGAGGCACGGTTCCACCTCGAAATTGTGTCGGAAGGTCCGCAGTGCAGACAATTTACCACTCACATCGTCGAATCGACCAGATCAACGAAATTCGAAAGAAGAGGGCATCGATGGCGACAAAGAGTCCTTTCTAAAGCCAACTCCGGAAGAAAAACCAGAAGATTCGAAACTGAAGGGGCAGACCGCCTTCAAAGGTGGTTCCAAGGAAAATCATCAGCAACAGACTTCAAGGTAAGAGCCTGTCGAAATTATATGATTTATCTGTTTAACCAGTTAAATGTTTTCGACGAGTGTGCTCGTCATGATGACATCTTGCGTTATAATGAATATACTCGAAAACAGATAGGTGGTTCATACAGAACAATTAAAAGAATTTTATGACATTTATGTATTATATTCAACTTTCTGAGATTATTAAAAAAAAATTAAACTGCTTAACCCATATCTTTTTTACGATCAATGAAGATAATTTTTATTTTGTAAAAAGATCTGCAGTCTAGTTATAATCCATATGAAAAACGTTGTTGCATAATAATTATTATTTTTATTAAAATATTTTTAGTTGTGAATAATTGCTACATGTAACCAAAATGTTTTTTTCATTGTCATAAGTAGACCATGGATTTTTATGTGTTTATGGTATATGTAAATATACAAAATTCAAGTGTACGTGAATATTTGTTAATATTATATAATTCTACTTGTTAGTAGAAATGTACGAGGAATGGGTATGCAGAATAATTTTGCGATATTTCGTCGAGGATTACTAAAAATTATTAAAATAAAAATAAAAATACGTACTCGATTGTATACACACAATTCAGAGAATGAAGTACATCGTAAATTAAATAAAGCAGTTTTAATTGATATGGATACCAGAATTGTGTCAACCTGCACCGAATGCCGCATACCGTAACGACAAAAGGATCTGCAAGTTTTACACCACTTGAGAATCTTCGAAGGGTACATTCCACTATTTTCACAGACCGCAGGGAACCTTGCCAACCGTTTTCCCAATGTTCAGTAGCAGAAATTGTCTTTTTATTCGTGCTTAAATGCAGATCTCTTTGGCGAATTGTCGGAATTCCTCACTTTACCGCTGAAAGGAGTGAAAATGATTTCTCCCTTTTACAAATTAAACAAGCATATAAATATTAAATATTTACCATAAATGTGCTCATCCAATTTGCACAATTAACTACGAGCAATCAGCTTCTTTATATCCGCTTTTATGATATAAAAAAATCTTGTTTACCTTTCCCTTTTAATTGTTTTTGTCATAGTTCTAAAAGTTCAAATGTTATTTATTTAATCAGAATTCTAGTCTGCTAATTATTATCTCGTTTTATTAAATAAATATTATCACTTTCTATTAACAAAAATAAGAGCAATAATTAATTCCTTCTAGCAGCCATATATTTTATTATCTGGATACGCAAAAATATCGCATACAATATGCTGTAAAATGATTTGCAACAAATGAAATTATTTCTATTTGAACATATTCTATTTCAACAATTTTTAATACCAACTTGCAAACAAATTAATAGCATAACAGATCTGTACCTGCAAGAAAAATTGATAAATATGGTTTATAAATTCTATGTAGATTACATGAATAATTAATGTAATTTACACTCAAATTACTTGATTATCTGTCTGGAATCGTTCCGATGCTTATGAACTAGCAAAAGGAACTGTCGACTATAAAACGAGACAAAATGTAAATATGTCGACAAAAGAGTCTCGACTCACGGAGCTCCTGCAATCCTCTTGCATATGGAAATCGTTTGCACATGAATCAACTACCCTGAAGTCGATTTATTATTCTATGACCTGGAATTTTTAAGTACTTGGAATATTCATAACTGTAACTACGCGATTTCTGTCATCGCCAAACTTGCATGAAATTGTCAACTAAAAACGTCGTCGTTCTAGTGATTTACAGAAATCAATTTTGAAAATTAGTCATTTTGTAAGCTGGCCTAAAATATGCCAAATGGAATAGACCTATTGATTAGGGAATCATAATGTGTACGAAATAACGTATGTAATCAAGTAAATGTTTTTTAAACATTTTTTTACGTATACTGAAAAACTTCGAATTAAGATACTTACACATTTACCGATGAAAGTTAAGAAACATGTTACACAGTTGCAGTAAACCTTCTTAACACAGGATCAAAATTTGTATTGTGTCAACGAAAAATCTAATCTTCTAGATTTCTACAAATCTATCTAATATAATTACATATTTAAATTTTATTTCATTTTTGTATTTTGTATTTTTTTATCTTTATTGTATTTTTTTATTTGTCGAATGCACTAAATAAAACAACATTGCAATATAAACAATGTGTTATAGGCTTCACTACAATTTATTTTTTATTTAATAAGACGTATATCTATTAAAGTATCAAATTTTATCCAAATGTTAACGATATGTAAAGTTTTTTAACTTTTGTCGGTAAATGTACATGTGTAACAGAGAATACAACGTACAATTAATTCGATTTTGAATTTTATTTATGAAATTAGCAGTTCTACCGTCAAAGTATAAATTACATTGCTGAAAAATGTTGATAAAGATAGTTTTATACAATCACTATTTTTAATTAAAAGATTAGGACAAATTTCTCAATATTTACCATAATAGTTGAAACAAATTCTATTTTCTCCGAAAGTTTTGTATACGACATTTTCCTACAATACATTTCTCTATCTCCAATCAAATTCGAGATAAAAGTCGTTCCACGCGCGAAGTGAACATTGTGTATAGCAAGATTAAAGACAACGAAAGTGGTTTTTCGAAATAACTTCATTCAATTCTAACACTCTAGCTCCAATGGAGGTTGACTGGAAAAGACACTCTCCTACTTTCACATTGCAGCTTTTACTCTAATTGTAAAGCTCTCCGCGCATGCGGAAATATTTCACGTCAAATTGTATTCTTTAAACTTGGCGAATTTCTTGAGTATTTTAAAAACATGAAATTGTTTAAAATTTTGCCTGTGTAACGTAAACAGTATACACCAAATCGGCACTAGTACTATTTTTGACATTGTCAACTTTCTCCTTTTATCATAATGAAACAACATTTACTTACAGCCATTTTGAAGTTCAAAGATGCTCTTTCTTAGATAAATAAACGTCATTTATATTGCTTTAAAGGGAATGTTTAATTTTAATTTGATGCTATTCTCGCTCGTCAATGTGATTAACATAAATGTTACTTAATTCCATGAAGCTTGAGAAATGAACATTTCGAAAAGATGCAGAGAAGTGAGATAGATCGTCTATCAATAACAAAACGTGGGTAGTATGTATACAATCTTATAATCGTAGTATACGAAAAAAAACAATTGAATTAAAAAATATAATATAAAAATATTAAAACTGAATTTATTTAAAATTTTCGCCATTTTTAGTATAATGTAAGCTTGATTAAGGGAATGCATTTAATCGATTCCTAAAAAAGAGTCTTCATAATTCCGACAATTGTGAAATAGAGAACTTGAAACTGATCATTTTGACCGGCTCGATAGAATTAGTGTTAACACCGAAATCGTATAAATCATTGGGCAACACAATAGTAATTCTAATATCAATAGAGTGTTGACTAGTGATTACGTAAGTACAATTACATATAATTTTTAATTTCTGAATAATAAACTAATATTAACAGAGCCTCAGATAAAATAAAATAGCTGCTGAAAATACACGTTATCTGTAGCAAATCGGATTCTATTTTGCGAAGTTCGAAAATATATAAATATTACTACATTTCAAATTGCAGTAATATCCCTTAAGAGAATTTCAACTTAAAAGTTCTTATTCCCCTATTCCCTTATCCCGTTAACGCGGCGATGCTCTAGTTAGCCAAGTTAGGTGTAACACGAATCCTAATTGCACCTTTCATTTTGTTATTAAAGGTTCGGACTTCCGAATTTAATAGCAGTTAATAACAATGCTTGACACTGTTTAGACAATATGTGTTTACGAAATTAATCTTATCGGATATATTTCTTCTGTTAACGTTGTAGTTTATTTGACTATCTTTCTTTGATAGACTGACTACGGCGATCTTTATTTTGAAAATTTCACTTTTAAGAATAATTTCTTTACTTTACTTTGAATGGTCTACAATTAGGTTCCATATGTGGTTGTAAAATCTATCATAATATAAAAGACAATGATAAAAGGTAATTTATTGAAATAGTTACATAAAATTCCCTGTTTTACGGTTTGTACTTTCTTTAATTGCAAGCAACTAAACAACTAGTACTATCTTTAATTTCATGATAAATCAATTAACTTATTAATAACACGTCGCACTCGCAAACTGAAAAATATCACGATTCAAAATAACATTTGTATTTGAACAATTTTTATAAACAAAATCAGTAACAAAAACAGGTTTATTATTCAAGTTGAAATTATTAATCGCGAAATGTAAAAGAAATTGTTCAAAAAGCCGAAATCATTATCGATGAAGATTTTATCTTGATTATGTATAATAATTTTGTGGTAAGGTGAATTTATTCCAGTTATCCATAAAAGCTATCGGTTCAGGAAATTGTGTTTTGGTCACTCATAATAGTTATCAGTAGATTATAGAATTTATGCATTTATAGCAAAAATGAATAACTGAATTATAAAATTTTGAAGACATAAAAAGAATTTACTAACATTGTTTCGCTATTTTAAGTTATCAAAATTGTTAAAAGAAACAATTCATTTTTATTTCATTTTCGTTTCTTTTTATCATCTTGAAAAATTTTTATTTTGCATAAAACTCCGCAGTCTATTTATAACTAAAAGCATTTGAACCAAAATAATAATTATTACGCAACGATCATTTTCATACTGATTGCAACAGTTATTACATCTGTGAAAACATGGATTCGAGAAAAGTGCCTTTACTACCTAACATCATGAAAAGTAATTTACTAATATCGCTAATGTTGCTTCTTGGCTAACTTGATCTGCTTCGTCGCCTGGAAGTCATGTTTATCAATAATTACAAAACGTCGGCTGTGCTAAATCATGTATAGTTAATGTATTCGCCACAACTTCGAAAGCATTATTCTTACTAAAAGTGCTAAGAACAGTCACTATAAAATTTAATGCTGGTGATTTGAAAAACTTGTGATACGGAAAGTTTTATCCGAGTCAAGATATCCTACTGAAGTTAAAGCGCATGGGTGTGCTTCCCCTAAATTATTCGGAAT